ATGGCCACTCATCACTGGCAAAGGGATTGGACCAGCTGCCTCTGCCTACCCCCAGGCTGCACCTCTGTAGCCCCAATACCTCCTTAGGCCTTTGACAAGGCCTCAGCCTGAGGAGTTGCCAGACTGGAGCTCCCCAGCTCCTCTTGCCCTCCCCAGCACTGCTCTGCTTCAGGTACCCTGTGCTCCCAGGCAGCTAAGTCCTTCCCACTCCCAGGCTAGAGTGAGAGTAACCCAGCTCCTCCCTTAGCCCTTATATCAGGGCCAGCTGTGGTCTGATTGGGTGTGGCCACAGCTGTGGCTGCTGCCCCAATCAGCCTACCTTTTCCCCCAGGAGCAGGGTAACTGCCCCGCTACAGGCTCATATGCTCTGCTCGGTGTCCCCATCTGGCTCCCTGATTTTGAACCTTTGACCATCACCTCGCTCCCTGTTTTTTTATTAGTTGTCCCAAGAAATCATTTGGTACTGGGTCCAGTGGTCCCTCCCGCTAGGCTGGGGGAGGGGCCTTTAGTAGTAGGCGGGTGAGCCCGCCCACTTCCCGGTTTACCAATATCGGCTCATATGCTCTGCTCGGTGTCCCCGTCAGGTTCCCTTCTTTTGACCCTTTGACCGCACTCCTGTCCCTGTTTTTACATTAGTTGTCCCCCATAATTATTTGGGTTTTAGGCCCTGTGGGTCCTCCCCTTAGGCTGGGGGGCGGATCCTTTAGCAGTGAGCCCGCCCACTTCCTGAACCCCAATATGTACAGACTCATATGCTCTGCTTGGTGTCCCCGTTAGGCTCCCTTCTTTTGACCCTTTAACCGCACTCCTGGGCAATGCCTCCTGCCGAAGGGAGTGCAATCAGCTAAATTATGACTGCTCCCTGCATGGAGGGAGGGGGGCGAAGGGTGTCATGCTACCCTTCCAACAGCCTCAGAGAACAGACATAAACCTGCCCTTTATTAAGCATACCAAACAGAATTGACCTGATCAAACCTGTTACATTATATCCACTGCATCCTCAGAATTAGTCCTGGCATCAAAATACTGACTGATCCATTTGAAAGATGCTACAATCAATTGCATTAACGAGTGCACCAGGGCTGTGATTCTGCGTATGTAAATAATCTAAATATCCACTTACTCAATGTGGTAGAACAGAGAAGAGTACGGCACTTTATCATGTCAGCTCTCACATGATTCAAGGACACCGTTTACCTTTTATTCCTACCATTAAAAAACAAGCAAGGAATGTCAAAGGCAAAAGCTATTTCTGCTTGACCCAAACCAAACCAAAAAAAAAAGTCAAGAAAATCCATAATCCATAATTAAAAGGGACTAGTGATTTTTGGGAGCATCTTAAAGAATCCTGATTTTTAGAGGGCAGGTGCTCAGCACTTTCTGCAAAATCAAACCACTTTAGGGCATCTCCAGATGAGCCCCCTTAAATATTGAGGCACCCCAAACCACTAGTCACTTTGGCAAATCTTGGCCAAATACTGTGTAGTTCCTTTGTCCTTCAAACTTCCTACTAGATATTTCACAATATAAAGGTCCCTAGTGTCACATGCAGAGCTTCAACATCAGCCGATAACAACTGGAGCCTTGATTCAATCCAATATCAGTCCCAACTCCAAAACAAATCCGAGGGCTCTTACTAACCCTCTTCCCCCACCAAAAAGCCCTGCTTAATTCTCAGACATTTCCTACAGGGATGTGACAGATACACATTAATTTCTGACTTTTGCAAATACTAGCCATAAACAGACATTTCAGAGATCGTTTTTTTCTATTTAAACCTTTTAGGTTAAAACGTTGTTCACAAGGGTGAGCTAATTTGCAGGTGGCATGTTCATATCAGATTCTTTGGGCCCGTTCTGCTCTCACACTAGTACAGCTCCATTGACTTTGAAAGGTGTCACTGCTGCTTTATACGAATGTGAAATCAGAATGAGGCTCGTATAGACCATGGTTCTTCATGGTGGGGTATCATTTACACTAGTGCCAAGTGAGGGTGAAAACACTGTCAGATAGGAGTGGCACTGTTTTACACCCACTTTTACTCCTGGGGGAATTCTGTGCCACTTCGCATGTGCAGAGTTCATGTCCCGGGCAGATTATTTTTCTCCACAGAAAATACATTCTGCTGGAGAGGCGCTGCAGTTACGCCTTTCTAGGGTGACCAGATGTCCCGATTTTATAGGGACAGTCCCAATTTTTGGGTATTTTTCTTATATAGGCTCCTATTACCTCCACTTCCACCCCTGTCCCGATTTTTCACATTTGCTGTCTGGTCACCCCTATGCCTTTCGCCCACCAGAGACTGTTGTGGTGCCAGAACAGAGTGCAGCTGGCTCACTGGAGAGAGAAGAGGAGAGCCTGCTTTCCTCACAGCACCCTGCCCGTGGGGCCAGGTGAAGAGGCCCAGGATTTTTTTTGGGGGGGGGACAGACAGAGCAGGGCATATGGGAATGCTGGGGGGTGACAGACTGGGGTTCAGAATGGCTATGGGGGAATAGACTGGGGCGGGAGCTGAATGGGAGTGGGAGTGCAGGACCACCTGGGGATTGGGGGCGGCTGAGTTGGGGTGCAAGGACACATGGGGGAGGGGGAGGGGTGGCTGACTGGGGGTGCACGGACACATGGGGATGGGGTAGGGGGTGTAAGGAAACATGGGGACAGGGGAAAGAGGGGTGGCTGAGTGGGGGTGCAGGGACACATGGGGACAGGGACACATGGGGACAGGAGCACATGTGCCTGACTGAATGTGAGAGACTAGGGGTCAGCCAGGGTCTGCATGGGGGAGGCTCCCCAATTCCCTAACAATCCTTCCCCTCCCAAAAAAACTGTTGCATACTTCTTCCACCCACACCCAACAATTGTCCAAGTTCACTCCCAGGCTCCTTCCCAGCAATTACTTCCCTCTCCCTCAGCTCCTCCATTTTCCCTGACTTCCCCAAGCCTTTGTACTGCTTGTAAGGGGTGCTGGAAATATGGTTCTGTATTGTTGTTTAAATGAATTATTACTTAAAGTTCTGTATTAATATGCCTAGTAAAGAATCTATTTGTCAGAAAAACATTTCCTGAATCTTTTTTAGTTGTCTGTATTGTTACAGACATACTTGCTGACAGGTACTTTGAAATAAATCACCAAAATAATTGAAATGGGTGTGATTACATTGTGTTATTTTGACAAATAAAATATGCAGAATTTTGCAGAATTTTTAATTTTTTGGCGCAGAATTCCCACAGGAGTACGCTTTGCACATGGTTACATGGCTGCCAAGGTGCAGGGCAATGAAGAATCAGGCCCAGAATTTTTAGCCTTAGTTCATAAAAAGGAAAAATCTACCACATCCATGATTTTCAAGCTGAATGCCAACTGCGCCTTTCCCCACTGCAAGCAGAAAAACGGAGGAGCTAAATTATGTATACATTTTAGATTCACATGAATTGTTTCTCATGCTGCTATGTGACAGGTGTCATCTGCAGAACCCATGAGATGGGCTAATTAGTCGCATTCCCTTTGCTAGAAACACCAACCATTCCTAATGGGGGTTGAGGGGACAGAGGAATCGCAAAATGTATTTTGTCACCAAAAAAACACCAGTTCTGCTCTCAGGACTATAGAACCCTAGTTTCCTCTGTCAAGGAAAGATCTGGAAAGCAGCACCAAGGAAAAGCTCGTTTCAAAAGGAAATCAACGCTCCGGTTGGGTGTAGACAATGTGTGTCTACTTCCAGCCTGCCACCTCTTTGTTACAGTTTGTTTTTTATTTACAATACATCATACTTCTTCAGCCAGACACAAACACCTTACAGCAGCTACATTTCATTCTGAACCACAGGGAGGTCCATTTTCATGTGAAATCAGGCATCAATTGCCTTCTGAGAATCAAAAGAGAAAACCAAGAAGAGAGGTTACTTCATCAGTGCTGGGGAAAACCTGCAGCTAATATGTACTGAAATGTGTGATTCCCCCAGCAGCCAGCACACTACTTCAATCAAATGCATTTAACACAGCAGTGACAAAACTTTGCCCCACCCACCAACTGCAGGATCCTGCAGGACACACCTAATCTGCATCAAATGAAGCCCATTGTGGAGGTCTGTTTTCATCCCAGACACCTCCTGCTCTTATAAACCTGGACCAATGCATGCTCCCACCTGTAGCCTCTGCAGGAGGCACCTTTGGATTATTAAAGGCACAGTGCAGGCTTTAAACTCCACAAGTTGCCTTCAGCTCACAGGCCATGCTTCAGCCGAGCTGATTTTATCTTGGGCTCCTATGAAGCCTCCAGCCCAAAGCCTCACTGGTTCATAACGGCTTGCAGCCATAGTGCAAAAGTGGCCAGCAGGCTTATTAGCCCAGCATGTGAACACATACAGTTACAAACAAAGGGGAGGTAGAAATAAAAGGGTGATTTATTGGTGAGACTGCATTGGTGGGAGGAGCCCCCAGAAAGTTGTTGAAGCTGCAGAACCAGTGATTCTTATTGTATTTAGCTAGTAGGAAATGGTCCCGCACACCACAGGGAGCTATATCGGGGGTGAGGTTGGGGGAGGATGGCAGGAGATTTCCCTGGCTTCCCCTCAACAGAGAGGACACAGAGGATGGAGGAGGGGCATTGGGCGGATACAGAGAGGATTGAGGAGGGGCATTGGGCAGGTGGACAGGGGTTGCGGGAGGGTACTGGGTGGACACAGAGGGGATGGAGGAGGGGTGTTGGGCAGGTGGACAGGGGTTGGGGGAGGGTACTGGGTGAACACAGAGGGGATGGAGGAGAGGTGTTGGGCAGGTGGACAGGGATTGGGGGAGGGCACTGGGCTGACACAAAGAAGATGGAAGAGTGGTGTTGGGCAGGTGGATGCAGGCCCTGGGCAGACACAGAGAGGATGGAGGAGGGGCGTTGAGCAGGTGGATGTGGGTGGGGGGTGGCCAAGAGACACTAGCTTCTGGGAAGAGGCGCATAGAAGATGGGGGTGCTGGGTAGGGAGGGGTATGATGTATCCGCCTCTCACCTGTAGGAGCTGCTCAGCCCAGCTGCCGATTCCTCCCTGATCTGCTTATTGAGGGCATCCACCGCGGCTCGCCCTTTGGCCGCCTCCTGGGACGCCGAGAGCACGTGCTGCTGCTGCCCCCCATCCTCGACCACCTGGACCCTCTTCTTCCACCCTTCCTCAGCCCTGGCTGCCTTGGGCTGCTCCTCCTTTGCCCTTTGCTCTGCCTCCTCCTCCTTCTTCTCCTGCCCTGGCTGCAGCTTCCTCCTCTTCTCCTGGCTGGGAGGTTTCTCCTGGGGGCCCTTGTCCGAGGCTGGCCCAGGGGACGGGGCTGGCTTGGGGATCCAGGGATGGTCCCCTCTCTTGGGGATGGGCCAGGCTCGGAAATCCTTCTGGTACTGGCTCTCCGTCTCAAAGGGGGTTTCCGAGGGCTGGTACTCGCTCTTGGGTTTGCAGCTAGGCTCCGGCCGCTGCGCCTTCCAGTGCCTGTAGTCCTGGCGCATCACCGAGTCGGCCAGCGGCTGCTGCCCCGGCCCAGCCTTGTGGTCCCCCCCAGCCGCAGTCGCCCTGGCAACTGCATCCAGGTCGCCGCCGAAGATGGAGGGCTGGGTCTCGATGGCAGAGGAAGGGCGTGGCTGCTGCAAACCCACCTGGGCCGCGGGGTTCTCGGTGGCCTCGGAGTATTTGGTGAAGACCAAAGGGACCGCGATGTCCGCCTTGTCCAGCTGGTTCCAGAAGCGGGCGATGCAGCACGCCCGGGTGATGCAGGGCCAAGCCATGGCGACGCCTCAAACCTCTCCCCTCCTAGACAGCCTGGCCTCTCCCCGCACGCCCTGCAAAGAACACAGCGAAGTAACCCACTCGCACCCGCTCCAGAAATAGCCCCCGGCCGAGGGGCTGGGAAAGGAAATTCGGTGCCAGTTCAAGAACTGGGGAGCAGGGGACAATCCGAGCTGCACCGGTGCACGCGGCACCTCGGAGGGGAAACCGGTGCCGAGCCTAGCACAGTCCCTAGCTGCAAGCAGCAGGCTCGGGACTAATTGCAAAGGGCCAGGACTCCGGCAGAGCCCAGCCCAAACGCAAGGCAAAGGAAATGCTGCCCACCCCCAAGCAATGGTCGGTCAAAGCTGCGGATTTGCCCACGTCCTTGGCGACCTTAGGCAAGTGCAAACCCCCGGCAGGCGCGCGGGTCTCAGCCCTGGTGCATCGCGGAGAAGAGCCCTGCTGCAGGGTCCTGCCTTCACCCCGCACCGCGTCTCTCCCGGCCGGGTGCTGATGCGGATCTCACGGCCACGGCTGGAGGAGCAGCCGCCCCACAGCCATCATCTGAGCGGAGACCGGAGCATCGCCGCCGCTGCGGCTGCAGAGAAAAAAGGCCCCACCCAGCCCCGCTGTCAGCAGCGCCGCGCAGCGAAGGATGCTGAAGAAGGGCGGGGGGATGCAGAGAGATCACCTGCCTCCGTCAGCGCCTGCGGAGTGGGCTGGGAGCCTGTTAACTCTTCCCGCCCTGACCCCTGGGGCGGGAGGCAGGGGAGCCCTGCTGGGTGGGAAGAGTGTGTGGCTGGACAAGCAGCAGGGAGATGTGATGGTCCCACCCATTTTCAGTACTAAAAAGCTTTGGACAGAGCCCCGCCTCCATGCAGAAGAGCGGTGCAGAGCATGAAGCAGCAAACAATACAGTAATCCACTTTAATCCACCATGGCATGCCCAGCTGTAGAGCCAGACTGGGGGGCGGGGAGGGGGAGAGAAAAGGAAGATTACCGGCTATTAAAGCCTTAGGATCTTTAAGAAAATCCAAATGGCTAAAGCCACTTGCTTGCTGGGGAGATCGTTCCAGTGTCCTATTTCTGGGTGTGGATTTCAGCGATCAAAATGGTTCCCCTCATGGAGAGGGGGGGGAAATCACAACAAACCTACCCAGATCACAGCGCCACCTTAAAGCAAACACTGTCTAGACCAGAGTTAAAAAAAAAAAGAAAGAAAGAAGAAAAACAAACCACCCAAAGCCCCGCCACACACAACTCAGATCCTTTGTAGGGGATTGAGAGAGGGAGATTAATCAAGAGGGAAAAGGTTCAGCCCTCCCCTCCACTCCAATTGGTGCTGACTCACTGCTCCTTTCCCTTGATGGCTCAAGTTCTGTTTCCCTTAGGGAGTCTGCTTCCCTGCTTCCCCTTCCTCCACCCTCATTCATTCTCCTCCGGTTTTTACAGGCACTTCTCTCTTTGGGCTACTTCGACCAGAGCAAATCCTGTTATGCCACAATTTTGAGCCTGTGGGTATCTAGGCCCTGAGCTAAACACACCAATAAGCGTACACACGTGGGCTATACCTTGGCAGGTTGGGGGCCTTGGTCTGTAATATTGTCCCATCTATCTTCTTAGACCCTGCTGGGTAAATAATTCCAAGAAATATACAATGGGAGAGAAAAAGAGCTAGGTTCATCCAAATGTCTTACAATTAATGAGCAAAATGTGATAAGAAAATGATTCTCCCCAGATAAGGTAAGTGTCTGAAATTTGTGGGGCTGCAGCAAAGCGTAACTTCAGCGGCTATTTGGCTGTATTATTAATAGTAATGCTAACAATACTTTGTGCTACTATAGCACTTTCAATCCTAAAACTTCAAAAACAGACTCCAAAGAGAGACTGCTGAACTTGAATTAATATGCAAATTGGATACAATTAACTTAGGTTTGAACAGAGACTGGGAATGGTTGGCTCATTACACTAATTGAATCTATTTCCTCATGTTAAAATATGTTAAAATATCCTCACACCTTCTATGGGTCATCTCGATTATCACTTCAAAGGTTTTTTTCTCTCTCCTGCTGATGATAGCTCATCTCAATTGATTGGCCTCTTACAGTTGGTCTGGCTACTCCCACCTTTTCATGTTCTCTGTACGTATAAATATCTTCTTTCTGTGTGTTCCATTCTATGCATCCGATGAAGTGGGCTGTAGCCCACAAAAGCTTATTCTCAAATAAATTTGTTAGTCTCTAAGGTGCCACAAGTACTCCTGTTCTTTTTAAAGTAATGTACAGACATTCACAATATAGGCCCAGATACTCCAAGGTATTTAAGTACCTAACTACCATTTATTTCAATGGATAGGCACATAAATACCTTTAAAGATCTGGGCCTTAATCCTCACCCCTATGTAAATTTGCATGACTGGTTTAAACAGAGGTGTGTGTATAAATCCAACAACTGTCCCTTTATCTATAGTGACTACCCTGTTTCTGCTTTTATATAAAGCACAGTTTAAAAGGGGATGAGAAAGGAGTTTCCTCTTTGCTATAAATGAAATAGGAGGTTTTTCACCCTCTCTAATATTGCAATCAAGATAATTGCAAACAAGCCACAGGTCTCCACTCCCTGGGTCTGATGCGTGTATCTCTTTTATCCTGGCTTTTAAAAATAATAGCTAGAGACATATTGACGGGCCCATTACAGCCAGATAAAAGCAGTGCTGTAGTTAAGGCTAAGTTTTGCACTTGAAGCAGGGATTGTAAAGACAAGAGCCTCGGGGCAGAGAGTATCTTTTAATTTGAAGTTAGACGGAAAACACACCAGAAAGACAACAGACCATGGAAGCTGAGGTGGTCTGGGAAGAGTATTCATGGGGAGAGCAGGAGGTAAATGCTGTTATTTGGATATACTCTGCACAAGCATAGCGCTTTGTAGAGGTGGCTGGGTTGCTCCTGTTTTATAGATGTAGACACTGGGGCACAAAGACAGACGTTGATGTGTGTGAGATCACACAGTAAACATAGTGGCAGAGTGAGAACCAGAACCCAAAGCCCCTGCTGCGCAATCTCCCACTCTAGGCTCTAGTGTGCTTTGCTTTCTGCAAAGGTACAATAATAGGTACCAGTTACACCAGATAATATTAATTCTGATGGCACCACCAATGATCACAAGTCAAGAAAATGCTACTTAATATCTCACAGCAAACAGTAAAGTCACAAGGTTCTCTGGGGAAAAAATCCTGCTGTTTGAACTTCTAGGATGCTTTTTAAAAAAATACTTATAGGCAGACAAATAATTCAATTTATCTGAGCCCTGCTACAATCATATACTACAGCATAAAACCAGTACTGATTTAAGATCTGCTATTCTTGGCGATCCCACATACATGCGCTCACACATAAAATCATAGAAGTGGAGAAATGGAAGGGATGTCAATAGGTCATCTAGTCCAGTCCCCTGCACTCACGGCAGGACTAAATAATAGCTAGACCATCCCTGACAGGTGTTTGTCTAACCTGCTCTTAAAAACTTCTAGTGACTGAGATTCTACAACGTACCTAGGCAATTTATTCCAGTGCTTAACTACCCTGACAGTTAGGAAGTTTTTCCAAATGTCCAACCTAAACCACCCTTGCTGCAATTTAAGCCCATTGCTTCTTGTCCTGTCCTCAGAGGTTAAGAACAAATTTTCATTCTCCTCCTTGTAACAACCTTTTATGTACTTGAAAACTGTTGTGTGCCCTCTCGGTCTTCTCTTGTCCAGACTAAACAAACTCATTTTTTTCAATCTTCTCCCATAGGTCATGTTTTCTAGACCTTTAATCATTTTTGTTGCTCTTCTCTGGACTTTCTCCAGTTTGTCCACATCTTTCCTGAAATATGGCGCCCAGAACTGGACACAATACTCCAGTTGAGGCCTAATCAGCGCGGAGTAGATTGGAAGAATTTCTTCTCGTGTCTTGCTTACAACACTCCTGTTAATATATCCCAGAATGATGTTCACTTTTTTTGCAACAGTGTTACACTGTTGACTCATATTTAGTTTGTGATCCACTATGACCCCCCAGATCCCTTTCCGCAGTACTCCTTCCTAGGCAGTCATTTCCCATTTTGTATGTGTGCAACTGATTGTTCCTTCCTAAGTGGAGTACTTTGCATTTGTTCTGATGGAATTTCGTCCTATTTACTTCAGACCATGTCTTTAGTTTGTCCAGATCATTTTTAATTTTAATCCTATCCTCCAAAGAACTTGCAACCCCTCCCAGTTTGGTACTGTCCGCAAACTTTATAAGTGTACTGTCTATGCCATTATCTAAATTATTGATGAAGATATTGAACAGAACCAGACCCAGAACTGATCTGTGTGGGACCCCACTTGATATTCCCTTCCAGCTCAACTGTGAACCACTGGTAACAACTCTCTGGGAACGGTTTTCCAACCAGTTATGCATCCACCTTATAATAGCTCCATCTAGGCTGCATTTCCCGAGATTGTTTATGAGAAGGTCATGTGAGACAGTATCAAAAGCCTTATTAAAGTTAAGACATACCACATCCGCTGCATCCCCCCTATCCACAAGGCTTGTTACCCTGTCAAAGAAAGCTATTGGGTTGGTTTGACGGGATTTGTTCTTGACAAATCCTTGCTAACTGTTACTTTTCATCTTATTATCTTGTAGGTGTTTGTAAAATGATTGCTTGATTATTTGCTCCATTATCTTTCCAGGTACTGAAGTTAAGCTGATTGGTCTGTAATTCCCCTGGGTTGTCCTTATTTCCCTTTTTTATAGCTTGGCACTATATTTGCCCTTTTCCAGTCCTCTGGAATCTCTCTCATCTTCCATGACTTTTCGAAGATAATCACTAATGGCTTGGATATCTCCTCAGCCAGCTCCTTGAGTATTCTAGGATGCATTTCATCAGGCCCTGGTGACTTGAAGACATCTAACTTGTCTACATAATTTTTAACTTGTTCTTTCCCTATTTTAGCCTCTGATTCCACTGGCATTCACTATGTTAGACGTCCAAGCGCTACTAACCTTTTTGGTGAAAACTGAAACAAAAAAGTCATTTAACATTTCTGCCATTTCCACATTTTCTGTTATTGTTCCCCCCTCCCCTCACTGAGTAATGGGCCCACCCTGTCCTTGGTCTTCCTCTTTCTTCTAATGCATTTATAGAATGTTGTCTTGTTACCCTTTATGTCGCTAGCTAGTTTAATCTCGTTTCGTACCTTGGCCTTTCTAATTTTCTCCCAGCATGCTTGTGTTGTTTGTTTATATTCATCCTTTGTAATTTGACCTAGTTTCCACGTTATGTAGGACTCGTTTTTGACTTTCAGATTATTGACGATTTCCTGGTCAAGCCAGGATGGTCTCTTGCCATACTTCCTATCTTTCTTACACAGTGGGGTAGTTTGCTCTTGTGCCCTTAATAATGTCTCTTTGAAAAACTGCCAACTCTCTCAAACTGTTTTTCCCCTTAGGCTTGCTTCCTATGGGATCTTACCTACCAATTCCCTGAGTTTGCTAAAGTCAGCCTTCTTGAAATCTATTGTCTTTATTCTGCTGTTTTCCCTCCCACCATTCCTTAGAATAATGAACTCTATCATTTCATGATCACTTTCACCCAAGCTGCCTTCCACTTTCAAATCCTCAGCCAGTTCCTCCCTATTTGTC